GGGCTGAGGGAGGGTGACTTTGACTCTCTTTAGGCCTTCTTATGGCAAGGATGAGACCAGATCACTCCAAGTTGGCTTTCTTTCCTGTCTCATCTGAGATGGGGTGAGAGAGTGCCGCTGCCCGGGGAAGGGGGAGGAGGATAAGGGGCAATGTGTGAGGCCGTGAGACCGCAGCCCGGGTGCACTTGGGAAGTGATGAACTTGGATGCTGCTGTGAGACGGGTGGGAGGGCCGCAGGATGCACAGGAAACATGCTCGTTGTACGTTTATTCCTCCAGCCCAGTCACGTATGCGGGGCAGCTGCAGGGCGCCAGGCGCTGTGATCAGGGCTAGTGGCCAAGGCACCCAGAGGCCTGCCCTGGGGGGAAGGGCCGCTGATCCAGGGAGGACCCACTCACTGCAGCTGCCAGGAGGAGGGGCCGTTTACTCCAGGACCTGAGGGAGCAAAGGAAGCCAGAGCTTTCGCAAGCAGGGAGCGGCCATCCTAGAAAGAGGGGGTGTAGCAGGTGCAAACGCCCTGAGGCCACAGGACTTGGGGTGCTCCAGGCCCAGAGCTCAGTGGGGGAGCAGGAGAGTAGAGTGAGAGGAAGGGGTGGGGCACCGAATGGCGGCCACCAGAGCCTTGGGGGTCACGAGAGGGGACCTCTGAGCAGCAAGGCTTCTGCTCCCCTTTGAGACGGTTACTCTGGTTGTGTAGTTTCAGGGTCGGGAGGGCGCTGAGCGATTGAAAATGGGAAACCATTGGGAAGTCCCGTGTGAGATGGCCGAAGTCTGGTTGGGGGGGGGGGGGGGGGGAAAAGGGGGGGGGGGGTGGCTCCATCTGGACTCTACACAAGTGTCACCGGGTTGGATATGGAAGGCGCGGGCGGGGCAGGAACCCAGAACAATCGCACTTCGGGTTTGAGCACTGAGTGGGTGAGTGGCTGTCAGCCAGGTGAGAAGCCTGGCTGGGGGGCGGGTGAACGAGGGGTTTGCAGGGGGTGGAGGCGGGAGAGTGTGTCGGGAGAAGAAGGTTGATGGGTTGGGCATATTTAGACAAATGGGGGAATGCATGATCCTGGGTGTCAGACTAGGAGGCAGGAAGGGAAGCCACAGGGGCCCTGATGGAGAGGAGGGGCCAGGACTGGGGGAGGCCAGGGAGCCAGGGAGCTGGACAGAGAGGAGCTGCTGCGGGGGACCGCCCAGGGGTGGTAGGAGAGAGGTCACTGTTGAGGCAGTGGGGCACTGAGGAGCCGGGCTGGTCAGTCGTCCCTGTGTCAGCTGCATCACCAAGGGAAGTGGCGGCAGCAGGAGACGGAGGGGCTGAGGGGACCGGAGGCAGAGGGGGTGCAGAGGCGGGCATTGGGGGCACTTGGGGAGGCCCCCTGAGGCGGTGATGAGCTGGGATGGGGATTGGAGAGTCATGGACTCAGGGGGCTAGGTGGGGGTGGCGGAGGGGACAGGCACTGCTGGTGAGGGGACAACACGTGCAAGTAGGGGGCAGGGCTGGCACGGAGCGTGGGAGGAGCTGCGGGGCAGCAGAGTCTGGGGGGGGGGGGGGTCCTGCTGGGCCGTTGGAGGCCAGGCAGAGAACTTGGCCCCTGTCCTACTAGAAGAAGGAGGAGAGGGTGCTCATGGTCCAAATGCTCTGTGATTATCTGACCCTCATGCTGGCCTCCATTTCCTGTTTGCAGGCTCACCATCCCCCACCCCCAAAGGTTTTCATGGTCCCATCACCCGCAGTCACACGCAGGCGGACAGACTGGAAACTGGCCGTGGCCGAGGGGCAGGCCCACATCCTAAGGGCGCTGCGGGAGAGGCCCCAGTGACCGAGGGGGAGGGCGGCCACAGGGCACAGGGCACACAGTGTTTGGGAGCATGTCAGGGGCTGGGGTGGGGTGGGAAGTCTGGAGGAGACCGTCTGGTCCTGAGCTCTCCTGGTGACTCCTGACAAGGCCTGGGCCCAGACCACAAACACAGGCACCGTTCTGATGGTCAGAGGCTCACCTGGCTGGACTCCGCGCTCCCAGCCCTGGGCATAGCCATGCTGTTGGGGGTGGGGGGAGGGGAGACTCGTGGGCGCTCGCCAGGTCTGTGCAAGCGCTGAAAGAAGGTGAAGGTCGGGGGTGCTAGGCATCCCAGGAGCTTCCTCTCCAAGCGAACAGGTCAGACAGGGTCAGCCACTGGCATCAGAATCACGGGCGTGGTCACCCCGGTACCGTTTGCCAAGCCCCTGCACGCTCTCCCCGGGTTCGTTCATCCCGATTTGACAAGCAGGGAAGGCATGGTTCCGAGAAGCCACATGGGGTCCCTAGGGTCCCCAGGTGGAAGTGGGGCCCAGAGCTGAACTTGCCCTTGTCTATTGAGCTGTCGGGAGCCCTGCCCTGAAGCACACAGGCCCAGTTTGTGCCCCAGCTCGGCCTCCCGTGAGCTGGGCCCACGTGCTGGACCAAAGTGTCATGGTCCCGGTCAGGAGGGAGGAGGTGGGTTCAGAGACGGGAGAGGCAGCGCTGGGAAGAGTGTGGCCGCAGCGAGCGGTGGCGGGCACTCCTCCGAGTGCTTTATACGTTCGTCCTCAGCCACCCCCTGAGGTCAGCTCTCTCATTTCCCCAAACTACAGAGGAGCAACATGAGGCAAGGGGTGCACGTGACTCACCCAAGGTTAGTAGAAAAGAGGGAGGAAGTTTGGGGCTGCAGGGGACAGATGAGTAGCCCGGGTGGGGATGAGGGGGTCCGGGAGGACAGGTCACGTGGCTGGCGGGCCAGGGAGCCAGAACGGGCCAGTTCCTGCAGGGGCGCAGGTGGGCAGGGGCTGGGGTCTGTGCTGGGGGTCTGGGAGGCTCGTTTTTGTGACTTTCACACCCTCTGTGGCCCAAGCAGAGGGGCATGACCGATGCCCCCAGGCAGGTGGGACCCACTTCCTGCAGTGCCTCCAGCCTCCTAGGCCCTGCCCCTCCATTGCCCAGCAGCGCTCCCTCCATGCCAGGCCCATCCTGGCTGGCACCACCCTCCTCAGACCAGCAGTGCCTCATCTGCTTCCTCGTCTCTCTGCTGCCAGGCTCAGTGAGCACAGCCTCCCTGACCCTCCCCCCTCTCCGTGCCCAGGTCAGAGTCCTGGCCCCACCTGCAAGGCTCTTCCCAGAGCATGTGGCCTGCTCCCAGTCCCCAGGCCCTCCCCAGTCATCAGCCCTGTCTGTGGAGCCCTCACTGTGCCGCAGGGAGACTGAGGCACAGGCGGGACCGGAACCGGAGCACCAAGGGGCCCAGGACCGGGCTCCCGTCACCACCCGGCCCCGTCTCCTGCCACAGGGGTCTCCTCCCTCAGGGGGGCTGCAGACCCGGCAGAGGGTGAGGGGTGGTGTCAGGAGCTTTTGAAGAGCTGAGAGGAGGCTTTGGCGTCCCGCCCCTGGTCCCGGTGGTGGAGTGGTGGAGAGGGGCTGTTTTATTCCTCCTGCCCCCTGAGCTCTGACCTCTGGGGCAGCCATCTCCTGAGAACCCTCCTCCTCCCCGCTCCTCCCTCCCCTGCCACATCTGCTTTCTGTCAGGCTCCAGCTGAGCCCCCTTCCCGCCCTGCCCCCCACAGAGGAAAACACTTGGGGCTTTGCCTCACTGCAGGGGTGGGGTTGGCCCTGAGCGATTAGTCCCAGCTGCTGCTTGTTTCCCACTGAGGAGGGTGGAGGGCGGAGGGGAGTCGAATTGACAGCTTCCCTGCTCCTTCACCCACACGGGGCTGAGCCAGGTCCCATGGGAGGGGGAAACAGCAGAGGCGGGCAGGGCACTGATAGGATCACAGCAAGGGAGACCGAGAGGGTGTTGCAGGGGTCGTTCGGGACTCAGCTGGCTCCCCTGCTCCCAGCCTGCCCCCAGCCCTATATAGCACTGATGGTAATAATATATGATATTAATACTGGCCAGCACGTTGCTTTTCATGTACCAGGCACTGTCTTAACAATTTTGCATATGTTAGCTTTTTACTCTTCCCAACAACCCTATCAAGTGGGTCCTCTTCTTAGCCGTTTTACAGAGGAGAAAATTGAGGCACAGAGAGGTCAAGTGACTTGCTAAAGGTCACACAGCAACAAGTCTTGCAGAGCTCCTGATGGTTATAAAGTGATCTCATTTAGTGCTGTCTCCATCACACATACAGCCGATGTTACTAACCTCCCTGTCCCCACCCGCCCCCCTCCACCCCCCTCCCGGTTACAGAAGGGCAAGTTGAGGTTCTAGAGGAGAAAGATCTTGGCCACCAGCCCTTGGTGAAGAGGTGAAGCTGCGGGCCCCTGGGTGAGACCCGTGAGGTCCTGGTCCTCAGTTTCCTCATCTGTGAGGCAGGTGGTGATCTGCCCCTCACAGGAAGGGTGAGGTCAGGTGCCATGGTTTATGTGGCAGCACTTTGCAAAGTGTAGACCATGGGAGCAAGGGGGTGTCTGCCTCTCTGGCCCCACCTGGAAGACCCATTCAGGAAAGGGGCCCTGGCCAGCATGAAGCGGGGGGCGGGGAGTGGAACGAGGCTGGGTTTCCTCAGGGGATGGGAGACTTCTGTGTGACCCCTGTGTGGCCAGGATCACTAGGATGGGGGTACAGGGACCCGGGTGTTAGTGCAAGATTGGAAGGCCTTCTTACAGCTCAGGCAGTGAGCTCAGCGGGCCTGCAGGGAACTCCCAGCCCCCGGGGCTTGTAGATCATGGAGATGGAGTAGGTGTTTGTGGAGATGTTGGG